TGCTAGATAAAATTGCATGATGGAACATAGCCATTTGAAAATGTTTTACAGCATTTCATAAAACAAAAATGTGAACCTGTATTTTATGAAACGAAATATACTTGCATGGGCTGTCATACACACTCGTTTTCCTTTGAAGATTGTATAAAGTTTTAGCACAATTGTGTTAGTGAATTGTGTAGCATGTGATTTCTCATGAACTATTTTAATTTTTATAATTTTAGAAAACATAATTTTATTCCACTAGATGGTGCTGATACCCTATCACAAAACTAGCTTCCCTCCTACATACCTGCCACCACCACCACCAAAACCGTGTGTTTTCGTTTTTGTCTTAAAAATGTCCTGCTCATATTTGTACATGGTGAATCTTTGTTTAATTATAAACTGATCTGTGTGTTTTTCACATTCAAAATTCCGACCAACTTGCTGGTGTTCAGTTTACCGGAAAAATAAATTAACTAAATTGCACATGTAGAGTTGCAATTATACAATATTGTGAGTAGAAAACTATTTTCCACAACTATATTACTATTTTGATAAATTTAGCTTCTTTGCTCTTATTAATTTAATGCCACAAAAGAATAAAAGTTTTCCTATCAATTTATGTGACTGAAATTATTTTTATTAAAGTAACGCTTCTATTAAAAAACAAAAAAAATCCATCCACAAAAACTTTAGCAGTCGCTCAAAAAGTGGATAAACAGAGAAGCAAATGGATCAGTGAAAGAAACCGGAACTAGCTGAAACATTTCCGTATCTGTGGACTACGGATGGAAGAGCACAGTAGACAGTGTCAGATGTACAAAGCTGGAGAAGACAGGGGACTACTGTTTAATGCACCTAAAAGTTCTGTTACACAAATTCAGTAAACTCTAACATCTGTAACTCTGTTGCCTACCTGGTCTGTGTGTCATGTGTTTGAATTCATGTTATAGTGTTTGAAGTCCGGAATCACTTGAATCTAAGCCAAAGAAAAACTTCTAAGAATCTCTGAAGAGGTGCTGCTACTGTGGCAAGGTGAGTAAAGCTGCCGCCTGCAGTGCTGGCATCCTATATGGGTGCCGGTTGGAGTCCTGGCTGCTCCACTTTGTTCCAGCTTTCTGTTATGTCCTGGGAAAGCAGTAGAAGATGGCCCTAGTGCTTGGCCCCTGCATCATTGTGGGAGATCCGGAAGAAGCTCCTGATCCTGGCTTCAGGTTGGCCTAGCTTGTCCATTGTAGCCATCTGGGAAGTGAACCAGCAGATGGAACACCTCTCTTTCTCTCTCTCTGCCTCTGCCTCATTGTGTCTCTGCCTTTCAAATAAATAAATAAATCTTTTTTTTAAAAAAAAAAAAGATTTTCTGAAGAGACATTTCTATAGGACTTTTTTTAAGCTATTACATTTTCTGTTGACTAGGTTTATGAGAATCTTGGCACTCCAAAATGTTAAAAGAACTGTGTCAAATCATTTTTTCCTTTTTTTAAAATTTTGTATTTTATTTCTGTTTAGTTACTTTACTCTCTCTGGGCCATTTTTATAATATCTCCTTATAATTTTATGCTCAAATTTAATTATCACCCCGCCTCCCCATTATATCATGCCCTTTCCATGCACTCTGTTCTGAGCACTTGTTAAGGTTGCTAAGAAATAGGTAAGGTACACCCCTAGTTAAAGGAGCACAAGGTAGAGTTCCTTGGCAGGATCTCAATCCTGGGCAGCTGGTGGATGGTGTAGGAGTAGGGCAGGAAGAGGAGACATCGGGGGAAGAAGGAAACTGGCAAAGACTGCATAACAGGGACTGAGCAAATAAAAGTAATCTATGAAGCCTTTGGCTTACCCCTTAGCAAACAAACGCAAAAATAAAGGATATTTTACCATCCTTTTCTACTTACATTTGGGAACTTACTTCTACTTTAGAATTATTTTAGTTTACAATACTTAAATGTTTCAAAAATTGTAGCATATGCATTCCCAGGATATGCTTAGTTAAAATAAGCAAAGCCTGTCTTGGTACACCTGTCACTCCTGTGCCATTCCTGTGGGCAATTTTTCTACCTCTTCCCATAGTACTCGCTGTAGCATTTCAGGCATCAGAGCTATTTTACTTAGAAATACCTCATCTTACACAATCATGTCGTCTTGTTCCTCTTATCCTCTTCATCATCCTTCTACCCTAAAATTATTGTGTGGAAGTTTTTAGATTATTATAATAATTCACAGTAAATTATAGTGAATTAACTGCATTTAACCTCCCTTACGTATTTATGCAGAGTGTTTGTCATTGCATGTAAATTACAGGTTGGTTGAATTTACGGTAATATCAACATGGAAACTAAATAGCAGGAGAGAAGATACTAAAGGCAACTGGGCATCAAAGAAGGAGGTACCTTTCTCTGAAGGGAGGAGAGAACTTCCACTTTGACTATGACCTTGTCTAAGTATGATCAGAGTTGGTGAACTCAAAAGGCTTCCATAGCCTTGGCAACTCATGACAAGAGCCTAGGGTGATTACTGATGCCATAAACAAGAGTGTCAATTTGTTAAGTCAAAAACAGGAGTCACTGTGCACTTACTCCTCATGTAGGATTTCTGTCCTTAATGTGCTGTACATTGTGATTTAATGCTATAGCTAATACTCAAACAGTATTTTTCACTTTGTGTTTCTATGTGGGTGCAAACTGTTGAAATCTTTACTTAATATATGCTAAACTGATCTTCTGTATATAAAGAGAATTGAAAATGAATCTTGATGTGAATGGAAGGGGAGAGAGAGCGGGAAAGGGGAGGGTTGCGGGTGGGAGGGAAGTTATGGGGGCGGGGGGAGCCATTGTAATCCATAAGCTGTACTTTGGAAATTTATATTCATTAAATAAAAGTTAAAAAAAAAAGGCAGTTGGGACACTGAACAACTCTAAGTCACATCATATAAATACCACACTACTCTGAAAATACAAGTGTTTAGGGAGAAAGAAAAAGAATTCTTATTTATCACATTGAAATTAGAACAAAATTTAGGATAATAAATCATCACCAGTTTTCTGAACTAGACAATGATATATAGCAGTCACATAATATCCTTATAAAGAACAATTTCTATTGACTTATAATTATTTTAAAAATATTTATAAAATTAATTTTTCATGTAGAATTAACTCAAATTTGAAGCTATATCGTACTTGAAACAATATAATATATAACAAAATGATTTTTTTCTGTAAGTGAAATGGAATCACTCAATCTTTAGTCTACAATGTAACATGTGGTCTGAAAGACATTATTGGCCATCAAACCTCCAACATCAGTAAACATCCTTAAGCAACAGAAGTAGGATTTACTCGGACAGGTTTTGGCAAGGTTTTATTTATTCACGTTAATCATTCTGGAATTTCTGTGGTGTAATTTTATATAGTATACAATTATTAGACCCTAAATCTAAAAGATCTACTTAATGCAACTTGATCATAATAGGTTCCAAAAAGCTGAAACTGTGTAGTTTGGCTGCGGAAGTGTTGGTTTAAACTTTGTCCTGTAAATAAATCTCACCCAGTTTTTAGTAGCAGGCGACTCCTTTGAGCCAGGACATTTACAGGAGGGAGCAAGTAATGTTCCTGCACAAAAAGGAATGTGAATGCAGACAATGCATTGCATCTAAAAGCTCCAACTGTTCCCCCACGTATTACACAGGAAAAAAACAAGCCAAGCTGAGTTTATAAGTTCTTCCTGTTGGCTATTCTTCTTTAGTAATGAACAGTATTTTTTGAATCATGTTTACTCTTAACAGGGCTGTAGCAAATTGTGAAATGAAACAGTGTTATGTCTGATTGGGGTAAGCAGATAGTCTTTCATAGTTTCTCAATGTGATATTCAATGTTCAACGTGGCATACAAAACCAGAAGCAAATGTTGCAGTACCTGGTTTTTAGTTTTAAACTATCAAGGTTTTGAATACCTTTCTGTTAGGTATGGTAAACTGTTGAAACTGATTGAAATCTCAAGGTAGTTTAGTTTCTTAGACTACTTAGCCAACAAGGGATCAGATAGGAGTTCCATTTCCACTAAAAACTCATGGAATGTTTTTCTTGGCTGGCCTGTGCGTTACGTGCATTTTCTGAAAATTATAAGGCTAACCTCAGCATTACCTTAATCACTGAAGCTTATCTGTTAGGAAATAATAAGCTTTGTTATTATTTTTACTACAAGTATAGTGTGCTATTGCTCAGTTCACCAGCAGGAACTGATAGCACATCTAAGCACACTGATGAAAAATCAAATACAACTGGAACAAGTCAGCTGGAATCAATTATGTAAAGGCGTTTACATCATTATTATTTAATTATCTCATATATTTTGTAGCACTCTATTTTAATAATATCTCAAATTCTACTTTGTTTGAACTTATTTTAATTATACTTGAATTTTGGCTTTTAAAAATTACCTGGAAAAAACAATTTAAATACTACAAATATTGTATATTCAAGTGCATTTCAACCTAAAATGGTATTTTCATTATAAGAATACATGGAATGCCTCTCTGTAAGACTTTTAAGACTATGGCAATATCAATTGTAAGTTATAAATATACTTTTCTTTGAAAAAGTTAAAATTAAATCTTAAATAAATTCAATTATTCATCAATTTGAAGTGTTTTTAAAATGTTAAGAAGCATGTGACTCACTTAAAGCATTTGGTGAAACTTCTAAACATAAACAGTAAATTACTTTGTATAATAGTTGCAAAGGAAACCATTATGCCAAATTGTAGTTTTCAAAAACATTCATTAAAACGTTTTTAAACTTTACATTAAATAAAATTATAAGAAATAATCATATATAGCATTCAAATGAGTTACTTTTATTTTTTAAACTTAACAATATTAAAAGTCACACAAACGCTAAGCTACAGACTAGTAGTTAAATCACATATTCTAGACCAAAATTTTATTACCAATGTAAAAAGCATGACTAGCAAATGTTTCATAATAAAGCAGTGGAAAAAGGTCTCCCTTTTAAACCTTACCTTGTGCTACACAGACAGTGCATATCACAAACCAGAGCACCTTTGCCGGAAGTCTCATTTTGGGGAGCTTTAGTGATACATTGATGAGCTGACACTGCTTACTCCGTCTAGCTTCCCTCTGCTGAAAACTGAAATTAGTGCAGAAAGTATTTGCTCCAAAAGGAAGTTGAAACACAGCTTAGGAAATAAGGGGTTGATGCCCCGCCCATCAGAAACTTTTGCAAAGTAAATGAAACCTCAGCCACAAGCTCAGCAGTGCCAGAGTTTGATCCCAGTTCTCACTGGCTTCACAAGGAGTGTTAATGCTATAATCTGCTTTCTGATTTGTTCTTTTGTACACTGGGCTATGTTCTCCTTTGGAACAAGCTCAGGTTCTTGGAATGTGCAAAGTAGCAACAGGTGATATACTCTGGGTTTAATGAACCCTTGATTACTCGGTCATTTCAGGTCTATTGTGTGTAAGCCTCAAAATGAAAACTAATGAAGCTCTTAAAAATCACTTACAGGGGCTGGTGCTGTGGCTAAGTGTGTAAAAGCCACCGCCTGAAGTGCCAGCATCCCTTATCAATGCCAATTCAAGTCTCAGCTGCTCCACTTCTGATCCAGCTCTCTGCTATGGCCTGGGAAAGCAGTACGAGATGGCCCAAATCCTTGGGCCCCTGCACCCACGTGGGAGACCTGCAAGAAGCTCCTGGCTCCTGGCTTCAGATCGGCCCAGCTCCAGCTGTTGCAGCTAGGAGTGAGCCAGCTAATGGAAGGCTTCTCTTTCTCTACCTCTGCCTCTGCCTCTGCCTCTGCCTCTGCCCCTGCCCCTGCCCTTGCCCCTGCCCCTGCCCCTGCCCTTGCCCCTGCTCCTAGCCCTATTCCTATCCCACCCCTACTCCTACCACTCCCCTACCCTTACCTCTACTCTACCTCTCTGTAACTCTGCCTTTCAAAGAAATAAATAAAATCTTAAAAAACCAATCCCTTATAGGGACGGGTGCTGTGCCTCAGTAGGTTGCCATCTGACATGCTAGCATTCCATATGGGCTCAGACTGAATTCCTGGTTGCTCCACTTTAAATCCGTCTCCATGCTGATGCACCCAGGGAAAGCAATGGAAGATGGCCCAAGTCCTTGGGCCCCTGTACCCACATGAGATACCCAGAAGAAGCTCCTGGCTTCAGCATGGCCATTGGGGCCATTTGAGGAGTGAATCAGCAGATAGAAAATCTCTCTACTCTCTCTCTGTGTAACTCTGCCTTTCAAATAAATAAATAGATCTTTTAAAAAAATAACTTACAGAACTTCATGTCAGGCAATGTTTTCACAATCAACACAGGTCATATACACAAAAATTTTGTTTGAAACATAGTGCTGGCTGATTTTGAAGGTCTTATTTTCTGGAAATTCATAAAGAATCTCTTCTAAAGATGTTTTATGTGTATGTAAAACAACTGCCCTGCTCCTATTTGATATAAATGAGTTTAATAAGTTAAAAGTCAAGAGATTGAAATGCTGTTTAAATTACAATTGATGCTGAGACTTTAATGTGCTCAAGATCATCATGGTCAAAACAGTGAACGTCACATTCTCTCAGAAAACCACAGGACTCCCTTTCAGTCAATACCTGGCCTCCTATATGTCGCACAGGGTGACCCCTATCCTGATCTCTAAGAATGGGGAATATGTGTCATTGTTTTTGCACTATATATAAATAAAAGAGAAGCTATTTACTGTTGTATTTAGAATCCATCACTGAAAATTGTGTTTGAGACAATCACATTGTTGCAGGTATAGATTGTTAATCCTATTGCAACAAAACACATTTTGTTTGTGTGCCTTTTAATGGGCATTTGGGTAGATCCCAGTTTGAAACTAACACAGTGATGCTCTGTAGATTACATTATGTGGTTTTCTTGGCAAACACGTGTACACTTCTTATGAGTACATACCTAGGAATGGAATATGAAGCTATAACTTAGGAATAAGCTTGGGTGTAACAGAGAACTTCTGACAGCTTCAAGACACATTATACCAAGTGACATTCCCACCGGCAATGCATGAGTTACTCTTCAATGACTTTTCATAATTTTAGTCTTTGTGATTTTAGCCTTTCTGGCTAAAGCCTTGGGCAATAATTTTCTGTGGTTTTAAAATGAATTTTCCTGATGACTAAGAAAGTTCAGCAATTTTCATATAGTAATCGGTCATTTAGATATCCTTTTGGATAAAGTGTTTAATCAAGTCTTTTGTGTGTGTGTATTTTTCTGTTAGGTTGTCTTTTCCTTGCAGGGATTCTTTATATATTCTAGATATGAGAACATTTTCAGACATACATATTATAAATACCTTTTCTCAGTCCACAGGTTATCTTTCTACTCAGTGTTACATGGCTTAATAAACAGACTTTCTTAATTTCAAAATAAAGCAAACTTATTCTCAGTACTCATATTGGAAAATTTTCAAAAAAATGTGTACTATAAATAGGAAAGGTATGAACTTAGGCAAAATGTATAAGATTTCAGAGACATAAATTTATCTTTTACCATTATATTAAAGATAAAATTGCTTTACATACCACCACTGTAGTATTGAAGTATTCTGAATATGACTGTGTTACACCATTCTGTTTGTACTTTCATCCGTTGCAGTTACTTAGTAGCATTCTTGCTCTACCTTTTAAAAACTCCATTTAGTAATTCTTTTTTCTTAGGTTTCAGAATGCTGTTATTTTTATTATTTATAACTTAAAATATATACACAAGGATTTTTATGAATGCTGAATGACCAAGGGAATGATTATGCTTCATATTCAAAGATAGGCTATAACAAATGATTAAAATGAATAATATAGATGAACATAGCTTTTATATGAATTAAAATGTCTTCAAAGGTTGCCTATGGATATGAATTTGTACCTATTCTTTTTTATTAGATTATTTGTATTTACTGACAAACAATAATTGTATATATTTATGGGGTACAATGTAATATTTTGATACATGTATACATTTTAATGATCAAATTAGGATAATTAGCATCCATCGCTTCATATATTCAAGAGTCCTTTGTAGTGTGATCATTCAAAAGTCTTATAGCTATTTAGAAAAATGCAGCATGTTATTGTTAACTATTGTTATCCTACTGTGCAATAGGACACCAAAAGGATTAGTTTTACAATAAGGAAAAAAAGTACTTAATTCAATAAAAATAAATCTTTCTGAGGTTTAATTTATATATTTTTTGAGAAACTTAATTAACTTTGAAGAAGAACCCAAGAATGGTATGCCTTTTGCAAGCACTTAGACATTACTATAGTTTATGAGACATAAAAAATATCCTACACTTAATACATTAAAATATGGTAAATCTTTGAGAACAAGTTTTACTATTAACTTTCATAATCCAACTCATTGAGGACGAGGTCATGCATGGGAAGTTAGTGCACAGTGACTCCTGTTGTTAACTTAACAATTAATATTCTTATGTATGACATCAGTGATCACCCAAGGCTCTTGACATTTTTCTTGACTTTTCAGATATACAAGAACTGAGAGAATCATCAGCAGATCCAAATGATAAGAAATGATGAATTAAGGCAGAAGGAAGGCACACAGAAATATGTATGTAAGTAAAGGAATGAAGAGCATAAGAACTGGAAATTGTAGCTTCACTGCCTACCATATGTTAATAACACCTCAAAATAAAAACTTTTCTTAAAACTTCTAAATCATTCTTTCAATCTCACTGGTCACATCGTGAATATTCAATAGCCATGTTTGGGTAGCAGCTATTATATTAAACAGCAGTGGTGTAGAGTGCTTCCTTCATCACTGAAATTCTGAAAAATGGTGCTAAATAATAGGATGGCTTGCAGTAGACCTGCCCGTTATGTGCAGCAATGAGTGGAAAAGAAGACATTATTTCTGTATACTAATCCTGATAAGTATTCGAAAAAGTAGGATATGAAACATCATAAATTAATAATGAAACTAGTAGGCATATGTGATATATGTCACTTTAATTTACTTTTAATAATCAAAGATGGATGTGGTGGCCGGCGCCGCAGCTCACAAGGCTAATCCTCCGCCTTGCAGCGCCGGCACACCGGGTTCTAGTCCCAGTCGGGGCGCCGGATTCTGTCCCGGTTACCCCTCTTCCAGGCCAGCTCTCTACTGTGGCCAGGGAGTGCAGTGGAGGATGGCCCAAGTGCTTGGGCCCTGCACCCCATGGGAGACCAGGATAAGTACCTGGCTCCTGCCATCGGATCGGCGCGGTGCATAGGTTGCAGCGCGCCGGCCGCGGCAGCCATTGGAGGGTGAAGGAACAGCAAAGGAAGACCTTTCTCTCTGTCTCTCTCTCACTGTCTACTCTGCCTGTCAAAAAAAAAAAAAATCTAAAAAAAAAAAAAAGATGGATGTGGTATAATTTACACATTAGAATTACATCATCTATTACTCAATGTGTGATTTTTATATTTTCAGTTATTATGGTTTGGGATTTTTTGCCATGCCCTCACACAACTACCAACAACACTACTAATATGAATTAAAACACAATATGAATTAAAGTTGTAAAATCAAGAAAATCAAATCACGAGCAGCTTGTTGTTTTCTGTCACTATTCCTGACTTCAGGTCAAAGTTTTCTCCCCTTATTGATTTAGATACATAATGATTTCCTTTCCCCCACAAAGAAGGAGTTTAAAACATCCTTGTTCTTGTCCCTCTTTAATCACATGGAAATAATGCTCAAAATACCCTAAATAAGCATAGCTTATGATTTATTTTAGAATATCTCCTCACTTGCATGAAGAAACGCGAAATATTATAGAGGTTCCTTTCTCGCTCCTTAGCGGCCTATGGCCTTTTTTTCTTCCCAATGGGACACTACTGGTGTGATACAAATTAGTAATTTGCATAGAAGTGCAGAGAAAAGACTTTCCTCCACTCTAGTTGTGAGGAGGTGAAAACACACATGTGCCTTTCTTTACATTTATTGAGTTTATTAGGTACATTTCTAAAACTAGGTTATTAGCTCTTAAAATAATTCAACTATTTTAAGGAGAAAGAAAAACTTTATCATCTCTGGCAACCTCCACAGTCACATTGAGTCTTGTGCAAAAGGAATTAAAAGCCTTCAGAGAAAATCCATGCTCCTCCTTTTCCCATGCTAGCTACCTCT